TGAAGTCAGCGATGGAGCTATATCACCTATCCTGGCATGGGCGCTTTTTCGGTAGGCCTACGCTTCGGCAGGGTGTCATGCTTTAGAAACCTGAATATGCAGCGTGCGAGTTCACAACGACTGAGTCTATCCATCGTGTTTGACCGTACATTGCGCAGGCGTCCGCAACTGCGTAGTTTGTCAGTGACAAACTGCAAAGAGTGTCTGTCTGCAAGTTCATGATATGCAGAATGTGCTGTGTGTTAGCGCATTAGACGCCCGGGCCAGTAGGCTGGCCGAGCCATGAATGCGTTGAGGGCTGCCAGGTAGACCCATAAACGTCTGAGCACACAGCAAGTTTAGGGTACAAATCAAAGGCAACAAGGTGACTAATAGACTAGCTTTGGTTTGAGTCTGCATTTTCGCCGGAAGTGCGTAGCCTTACATCAGAAACAGACAGACCTAGAAATTCTCATGGCTGACGAAGTTTTGCTCCAAGGCGCGAAACCCCCACGCTCGAGCTTGATGTGATGAGGATATCTTCATCGTGATACCGAATGACACAGTTAAATGCCCTATATCACTCAGTCACGCTCGACATAGGCTTAACTATGGAGAAGGGAGGGAATGAACCATTTTTTGCAGTAGCTGTCAGCTGCCAATCCAACGTTCAACTGGCGACAACGAAGCACAGTACGTTGACAGCAATCACTCTCTGAAACGATGAGCTACGACCCGCTGTAGCGGAAAAAGCTTTGTTTGCGCACGTCGTATAGCTAAGCTGACAGATAAGGTTCTAAGAGGTGCAAGTTTAATAGTCTCGTGGAGCTGTGTGGGGTTAAAGAATACCTGTGCAGATCCGCCTAGAGGTGCCAGTGTTTTCAAAACATACTCATGGGGGGATCAATCCGAGACAGAAGACGGCGAGGCTTCAGAAAGATGCGAGGCGTATTGGAGGCCATTGCTAGATAGGTATCTCTCTATTCGGAATGGGAAATATCCATAAACCCGACTTAATCTTTATTAAACAGTCGATGGGCTTCAAGAAGTGTGCGATAAAAGAATAGGACCCCCTAAGCAGTACTGCAGATGGTATTGCGCTAACTATGACGCAAGGTAGATGTTCTCGTGCCCAAACCCAAACCCAATCTTAGGCCCTAATGCTTCGCTCATCTTCTTGCAACTGACACAAAGGCCAAATTATAGCTAGCTACATTTCGGTTGACAGCCTTTGAGGGATTAAGTCTCCGGAAAGGGGAGGGAGAAGATGGGAACGAAGAGGAGGCGGAGAAGGATAAGGAAAGGGCGGAAAAACCGGGGAAGGGGGACGAGTAGGACAAGGAACTGGAAGAGGCAGAAGAAAAAGAGGATGAGGCGGGGCAGGAGTAGGATGAGGCGGATGAAGAACAGCAGGGGAGAAGACTTCCGTCTTCTGAAAACTGGAACGTGCTGATTTTTAAGACTGGAATCCACGAGTAATAGCACAGAGTGCCCGACCTGAACTGTTGCAATTGAGAACGTAGGATACAGTGATTTATAAACAGTGTAGATGCTGCAGTAGGAGAGCTGGCAGGTGCCAAATTCCTCAGCCTGCATATTCCGTTAGCCTTATATCTTGGGGCAGGTCAACCAACAATGTTCAGCGTGTTTCGCACAGGAAGGCGGGGACAGAGACGGCATCATATGCATGAACTGGCAGTTTTTCACGTGTTTACTACCGCACTTCCTCTTCCCTTAACCACCTGAGCCCTTTGTCCATACAGATTCAGGAATACCTCAGGCAGCATAAGACGCACTTATACGTACGTCTGCGTGCCTGTGAATGCTGCATGCTTCCTCTTAGGAGCACAACCTGCGGTCATCTCTATGAAAGTTCGTTTGTGGTTTCTGACTTGCCAGATGTATCACGGCTTCCATCCTAAAGATAAGCTGAGTGCAACACCTAGATGCAAAACGATGCACACCATCGCTACCACAGACAGCGAATGGCGATAAGAAAATCCGCGCCATCGCTATTGGTTACTTTGCTCGATAGTCGTGGCTTTGTCATTACCTGAATAACAAGCACCACCGGACTGTGCGTACGTGGCGTCTGGTAGTGTGCATGGCCGCATCACATAGTCTAACGCCTTTTTACGTCGGTAGCAGCCTTGGTATTAGGTTTTTCTGTCCTTGTAAGATGTTGGCTAGCAGGTTGAAACTGGAATCTGTGCTCTGGATTAGCGGCTAGATTTGCATCGCAGACACAATATAAATGAGGGCTGCGCAAATCTCCATCAAAGAATTCAAAATAACAGTTGACTGACGTATATCAGCTTTCAATGAATTATCATTGGGCATTGACATTTATAGGTTGAAGGAGTCAGAGGTAAACATGCGGTCAAGTACGTTCACCATTTCATGCACACTGGTCGCACGAGTTGGCGCCTATCCAAGAAAATAAGAAAACACCTGCAGGCATGGCTGAGAAAAAATGAAGTCCGGACAATAAGCTGCGCTATTCTCGCACCGACGTCTAGTTCGGGATGTCGTGCGTACCCCGACAAATCCTTCCTGGAGATTTGCAATATCTCACCGAATTACCCTAAGTCAGAGTCTGCTATCAAGTTGACGGAGCCGGTCTTGTGTGTGACGAAGCCGGTCTTTTCTATAATCTATAACCCCTACTGGGCCAACGGCGAGCTCGTGTATGTCGGGGGCGGGCGTTTGCTGACCTCGGGCGAGGTCATTGAGGTACATCTTTAGTAGTATTGCTAATACCAAGTAGAATAATGGGAATGAGTGAAGAAGTTGGTGGAATTTGGGAAATTCAACCAATCCATAATGGACCAACGACTGGCATGCTGAAAACCGGAAGATTGTTTAAAAATAACTTAAAATTTCTAAGTAGTTGGGTATTATACACAAGTACCCTTCTGACGTCCCAGTACATACTCTTACAATTACTTCAACTGTTGTGACGCCATGGCCGACTGTTGGTAAGTAACGCAATCCTTTTTCGATTTCAGGAACTGCAGTCATCACCTGCAGCCAAATTCCTTTATGATCTGAAAGTCGCTGGAGAAAGGAAACATTCAACTGACACTTCATCCACTGGTAAATTCGTACAAAACGTGCTATTGTGCTTATTTTTACTTTCCAATCCCTAAGGTCACTGTTTTATCCTGCAGCATGCGGGTGCGCGGTGACCGTCAATAGCATAGTTTATATATTCTTATGGGAGTACTCCTATTGTATCATCAGTTCGTAGAGAAAGTATTCTCTCTGGGATGAGCCTTTTGCACAACACTATCTTTTTCATGGAGTGTGGGAGGACCGAGTGCCCTTAATTCTTAGATATTTGTATTGGCAGGATACTTGGTTTTTTCCGTGTGTGCCTGGATAAGTGAAATTGTCGAAGGTTGGGTTTGATTAACCTAGTCTTAAGGCAGGTTAATAAACCGTGACTGCTGTGCTCGTTTGGCGCTCAAGAAAATTGTCCCTCAGCAAGTCTGCATAGAGCGTATACAGTTAACCAGCGGTAATCCAAAACCTCGGTTACATTATATAACCTTGTTGAATTATTGCTCGCTGAAACTGATGCTTTCGGAGACGGATATGTCAATCTGCCCAGTCGGTATTGTCGTTTTAGGCTTGCAGATTTTGCCTGAGGATGGACAATGTATTACATAATAGCCATTAATAGTTGGAATGTCATCATATCGTTGCATACGGACAGCCAGTGTTTCAGACCGGAAATTACTTTCAGAAAACCCACGCCATTATGCATTTACCCTTACGTTACTTTCAGAGGAGATAAGCGTCAAAGTTAAGGCTTGGGTTAGGTTTATGATGGAATAAGGTTGAAGGCTAGAACTAGGGCAGGAGTTACAGCTACCGTTTTTGTTGGAGCTCTTGTGTTGGTTAGAGCACGGGAATTGTAACCCTTCTCTGGCCAGCCTTTTTACGGCCGGTTCTATTGAAGGGAGCAGCAAATGTCTAAGTCCGACGGCTGAAAGTATTATAGCTGCGTACTTGTTTATTGCATATTTTCTTGGTCGTATAATTATTTGCGGGGAAACCAGACAGCCTGTCATTACTGAGCATATGGAATGGTCACTTTAGGTTCATTGGCTACCATAAGTCAGCCATACATAACCCCACCTGCTGTGCCGCTTCAGACTCAAACCATCGACCTGATAGTTAGAAGTTCGAGGATGTAACTTTACCCCGACGTCTGACGACGGCAAGCCTACAGATTTCTTCTGCCTAAATTCACTATCTACCTGTCGACAGAATCCGTTATAAACAACGGAAGGGTAGTAAGCTTATAGAAATCAGTTGCCTGCTTACTTTCCGGAAACTAACCTCTCCTCTCTTTGCTGAATTTGTCTTCTGTGACGTTTTTTCTTGATCTTCCTTTAAAACTGTATGCCCAGCCTTCACAGAGGAAAAACAGATGATGGACAATCCGGATCGCATAGGCGATCAGCTCAACTATCGGCCAATTCGTCATGGAGGGCAGACAAAGCCGATCTTCAGGGAGTATTCGTCATCCTGGCACTCAGCACCCATCAAAATCACCCACACCGGTCTTATGAAGCGCCAGAACTACCTTAAGTGGGCCAATTCTTTTCCAAGGGAGGCGATCCTACCTCCGATTTCCTGTTTTTCTGTCGACAGAACTTCCTTTGATGAGGTGTATGCTCTTTTCCAGTTCGGTTTGTTTTGTCAAACTCTGCAATGCAGTCTGCTCTGAGAAAATGTTCCCATCGTGGGAAGGAATTTCATCGATATATTTATTTAGCTGTGCATCGAACCCGCTATCAGCTAGCCATATGTAGCTGTATATTTGGAGCCATCTGAGATTCCCTAATGCTGCTGTGTTTTCATCCCAAATTTATGCTCTCAGTGTTGGGTAACCCAAAACAATGAATGTGAACTCGGGTGTCAGATAGGATTACCGCAAAATAAAAGCCGCGTTTCTGCAGTATGCCAACATTATTGGTTGACACTATTCTATTCTGTTTTTTTATTTTCGTAAGGATGTACTTTCCCATAAAAGTCTTAATGAGTTCGCTAAATAGCTGGGTTTCTAGTACGTAATCTGTGTTCCATTTGTGTCCTAGAAGAAGTCATCCCTTTAGAAGACTAACCAAGAGTACGTTGTCCGAAAGGAAATCTTTGTCCTAAACCTACCTGAAACATAATGCAAATTCCTACCCTGAAACCAACCATTATCTGTATACTAAATGTTAACTTTATGCTTTAAGCTAACACTTATGCTAGCCGCAGACACAATTCCGAATGCAGGTTACGAAATAAAGAGTCCGACGTCCGTTCCTGTTTTGGGTTACGAACAGAAATTGTAGACACAACATTTAATAGTAGCAACGTAGCAACAAATGGCATCATAAGGAACAGTACTCGCTCGAAAGAACTATATGTGCAACGTAGGGAGCCACATCACAAACAAAATTAATCCGGCGAAAAATGAACACCTAGAAGACAAGCATACAATCAAACTACATATGATGCAAATTCAGCTACTAAGGAACGCTAAGTACACATTTATGCGAAATTAATTCTGTTTGGTTGGCACACATGTTATCCTTCCTTGCACGTCAGTCAAATCTTTTGCATTTTCGTTGTTTGCATCCAACATCCATTTCACGAAATACCCTCTCACTTTCTCTTCCTTTTAGCTACTTTCCCCCAACGTGTACTTGGGAAGGCCAGTGCTGCTTTCTCAAGATTCAACTGCCTCGGAATCACAAACCTCGGTTAGTTTGACTGGATCCTATCGTGTTAAATTCGTTATACCAGGTGACTTACTGCTAGGGATGTAGACGGACTCTATGCTCTGTGATTTACTCGGTGAACAACCATCCACTATAGTAAAAAAATTCTTTCACAAGTTTACTTACCTCAAGTGCGCATAACTTCGAAGTCCCAGAACTGTGGCCTGAGGTCGCCTTCATATTCAACAGCCATATCTACGAGCAAATCACGAGGGACACCGGTGGACTCGTTCCTATTTGGATTCAAGCAATTGGTCATCGTATTTTAGCCTCTGCAGTTCAATATCATCTGCGTACATGACACGGTCTTTGTGATTAAGAGGAAACGGCTGTAGCCTAACAAGCCGTTGCTGTATCAAGTCTTTAACGGCACCCAGTTTTTTATGGAAGAATAGGTCACAAATACGTTGACCTTCCTTGACATCGAAGTTCAAAATTTGGCAGAAGGGAAGATAAGGACAAATGTTTACCGCAGGGCAACATACATCAAGTGCATCCTTTACCTTCGAAGCAACCACCTTGTTGGTCACAAACGCAGTTGGATGAGAACCCGCCTCCGTCAGTTTAATACATAGTATGGGGACGACAGTGGAATGTCCGTCATCCGCTAGTGCTCCAGGGGGCGGTGAAGTGGTTAAAAACCGAAATTCGGGTTCCCAATCGTCTACGCGAAGAATGTTTTCGAGACGACGGCAAGAATCATAAAATAATTTTGGGATTCCTGCGGATCATAAAGGGAATGCACAATCAGACAACGAGGTCTAAGCCCAAAGACCCACCACCATTGACAGACAAATCAGTAGTGACCTTCAGCATATCCTCTGGTTATGGAACATTTGCGCCCTATGCGAGCGCATATTTGTGTTTCTGGTTATAGTTTTTGGTAATGGCTATGATTGGCCAAATGAAGGCAGAATAACCCAGGAACGGGTTTATATCTGTCTACCTTTTATCAATGCCGTTTATCGGTTGAAGTGGAAACAGAAAGTCAGCGATTTCGTGGTGCTTAAAGTGCAACGATTGTAAATTTCCAGTGGTCAGTGCCTTACAGCATGTCAGTGCTTAATGGATACCGGTCAGGTTTTTTGTGAACATGGCATTTGGTGTGAAATGTTTTAGCGCGGGCTCTTTTAGTCGACGGGTGGACATGACCGTATCCAGCAACGATCGTTTTAGTCTCCGAAGGAGAAGGTTCAATCGTTGGAACAGGAAGTTAATTTGTCTGACGTTTCGGATTCTTACTACAGCACCTCATCAGACAAAAGCTGTTAGATTCCCCACCAAACTCCACCGCTTTATTCTGTCGCACCCAGGTCGATATTGACTGGGTTTCTTCTCCATTTTCCCTCGATATACTTGTGGATGCAGGCCCCTTTTTCAACACACTTTCTCCAGGAAGTGGTTGTGTGTCGTTTTTTTAGGCATATGTTAGCTGACGTGTCTTCCAGGCGTATGTACGGCTCAGGTCCAAGGTTTCCTCTGTACTCGCGTCGTCTGACAGTACTATGCAGAGAATGCCTACCTGAAGACTGCAATATATCCCAGTTTTCATAACGTACCATCAAAATTCTGAAATGTGTTTTCGATTCACAATTACTTAAATATGTTCGTAATATTAATTGTTGTGGAGCCCAGTTTCCAGATATATCCTTTCACGTCCAGATCTAAGGGAGCTTCTTTCTGACGGCCTTTAAGCAAACACCGGGTACAAAATGGCTACTTAAGTAGTAGTCAGTTGTCTCATTGCCTTCAGTTCCTTTATAAATTGAAATATATTGTATAAAAAATATGCACACAAACGTCTTTCCTTTTACGCGTTTGGAAGAACATTAGGTTTTCTTAACGTTTTCTACTTGGAGGAAGGGCACCGTTTGGCTTTGGGGCTATTTACAACTTACTCAATAAGTTAGAACGCTATTCACCGCCAGGCTTTAATTGAAGGTTTCTAAACTACATGGTACATTCCTTATGTCTAAGGAAAATTAAATATTTCTCTACGGTATGAAGAAGAGATCACATAATTCTTATAAACTTTGACGAAATATATGGTATAAACATCAAAATTTGATGGGTCCATCAATTTCGAGAGTGCTGTTCAGTTGCTTTCTCTCGTCGCATAACGTGAATTAACGTCAGAGAAAATACGCTATTGAATTCATACAGAAAAAATCGATAAAAAACGGCAAGGTCACTGTAAATGGCCAAGAGGCAATCAATTAAGTAGGAAATTTAAACGCTGTAGGCAGCAAATATATGGAACAGGCTGCAAAAGGTATAAAAAGTATTAATAAATTTGCGAAAATGCCGTATTGTGAAGGAACATTTCGCGGTCTTAACAATCTTATAATTATACACCTCTCCTTAAAGTTTACGAATTACATAAGGCGCAATGTCCTACTTAACGATTACAAGAAAAAATATTTTTGCATATGTGCTTTATAGGGCGGTCGTAACCATTGAAAACGATACATACAAATTGCGTATTCCTTCTTACAGAGTATAATCTTTTCAAGGGATCCGAAAGAGGCTCATTCAAAATTCGGCGTGCTTAAATAAAGGAAATATCTGGAAATTAGTTTGCATTATAATTTATTTACTTCTATACTTTACACATTTATTCTAATAAAAAAAGAGATTCCAGAATTTCCGTTGGCACTTAATGTGATAGGAACTCTTCCTTGATTAGTCTGAATACTCGGTATAGGAAACGCTTTGCAAAAAGTTGTGTGTGCTTTGTAAATTGTGCTTGTAGAGAAGGTTACACAAAACGATTTATTCTTCAATATATTTCCTGAATGCCAATCTACCTAAATTTTGACAAATTATTCTAACATGAATCTGTCTGTATGAACTTTTTGTAGTTGTCGAATAAGTCACCTCATAAAACGATTCCAGCCCAAACGGAATTGGTAGCAGACGACACAAATGGTACTGAGGTTGAAAATGAGACCGACTTCCGCGAACCGGATCATAGCGAAGAGGAAATTCGTCAGGGTCGTGTCTCTTTTAAGGCTTACAAGACTTATATCTTCGCGAGGGGCATCCGCCTCACCGTGATCGCAGTTATTGCTCAGGCAGTGTTTTCTGGCGTTATGGTAAGTCACCCCCCAATTTGACTTCCTTTGTATGCTTAACTACCTTGAACTAACTATCTGCGTTATTTTCAACGATTCACGGTTTTTCTGTCATTCTTAGTTGTAATATGACGGCCCACCGGTAAATCCTAAGAATTCGAATCAACGATAATATAATGATCACAGCAATTAAATCTGCTATGGATAAAAATTCGGCAGTTGGGGTACGAAATTGCTGCAACTGTGTTTTATAATTAATTCACGGTTCCAACTTCATAGAAACGATCAAGGACAGCGAGGCAAATAGTTCTAACTGTAGGTGGGTTCTTCTGACCGGGTTATAACCCTTCATTTCGTTTACGTAGCGCTTGGTGTTCAATCGTTATTTCGACGATTCCAGTTGGCGATGTGTAATTCGGTTCACATGCTCCGATCACTGTTTTCCACGACCTTATTGTCTACTCTCCTACTAATTTTAAGTTTGAGGAATAAAGATTCGAACCGTCTATCTGTCCTCGTCTTCTCGCGCAGGCTTATACCCTGCCTTAAACTGCGTATTTACAGGTGCAGTTATCGAAAAAAATGGAAAATAACACTCAAATGCTCTCCTAGCTTATTCGGTCCTCACTGCGCATTAGTGCCAGGTTTTTTGGTAATTGGTTAGCGAGAAGTCTATAATTAATTTTGTGACGACCAGATCTATGGTTTTAGAAGAGTCCCTAACCGAAGGCAATGGTTACCATACCCGAGGCCCTGATTCATAGGTATCGTGTGCTACACGCAACTGTAGCATCATGGGTATCGCCTGGCGAAAACACTGTGCATGGCCTTTCTTCCAAGTTCGTCGGATTTATCGTCGTGTCCGTCGTGCTGCAATATCTGTATGACAGCTGGCAATTTGGCGGAAAATTTCTATTTACGCAGGTAGCCTTGCGCAAATTTACAGACACTACATTAACCCGATGTCTAAAACTTTCCCTAACCTCCCTGGAAAGTCGAGAAAGGCCTGGACTAGGCGGGAGGCATACATTCAATTCAGTTTACTGCAGTTTTCTTAAGGAAAATGTAGGCGAACACATTCGGATTTCCTATTGGTTACAATGCAGACGCAAATCAAAGCCAATGATACATGAAGAACGTTGGGAATGTTGTTAAGTATGGAAAAGTAGGCACCAGAGAGGTATGGTAAGTCCCGCAAACATCTTTCATGACGAAATTTAACTTGGTAGTTAAGCATATATCTGGACAGGTTATTTTGATCAACTGAGTGGATTAATAATTTGAAAGCCTTTAATTTGGAAAACTGCCCTCTCAGTTAAAGTTATTGGGGGAAATAGGCACTCATT